CAGCATCACTCCACCAACCATTCATTAGAAACATCCTGCAGGATATCATCAGTGATGTTACCTAGGGTCGCAGGGTCTTTCAAACTTCAGACACCCTTGGACAAGTGACCCGATTGGAATTGATCACACTGCATTCCACAACCATCTAGTGGCTTTTTGTCTCCTCGGCTTCAGTCACAGATCTGATTGGAGTCCTCTTTATCTTTCCAATATCCCCAATCGTGTGGAGACTTTGCAGATTCTTACCGTCCAGAAACCCCTCTGCAGCCCACCTCCACAAGCATGTTTGCCATACTTGTCTTCTACAATCTTCCATGAGCTCCTGTTATTTGCCTGCATTTTCATTAGCCTCCTCCAAACATTCTTCAAAGGGTACAGTAAACTCCAGCTTGATCAGTTGCTTTTGTGGCCTCACAGATAGCGATCATGTCTCGGCGAAGCACTGTAGTGTAATCTTGGCTGGAAATTTGAGCTGTCTTCCAAGGTCCACTTCTATGTGCTAGTGCATAGCGGTGGTGAGACGTTGCTTTCAGTCGAGTGTAGGGCTTCATCCCAGCTTTGAGGAAGGTGATGCTTTGGCATTGTTGGCTGCTTGCACACTCTCAGCAACTGGTCATTGATTCCTGTTAATGCCCATTTCCAAGTGTCTTTGAGCAGCTGCTAAGAATGTGCTCCAAATAAAACCAGTTTATTTATTTTTGATAACGGACTTCTATCTGTACTTAAATGCAAATAGATTACTTTTTGGTTTCTGAGTTCATAACCTCTTTAAATACTTGGCATCCTCTGTGCTGCAGTGATTGGATGTTTGGATATCAGTTTGATTGAGTTGAGAGTCCATGTTGGTCTTTAGTGGTTGCCATGGTATTTTTGTTTCAAGATTCTGGGTGAATCCTGAAAGAGAATGGCTTTTCTCTTGAGTGGGATTTCAAATGGCCTTTTTTTTTCTCATGAATTATTCTTGTAAAACTACATTATTTCATGTTTAAAGATGAATTGTTGTCTGTATAATAAAATAGGAACTTAAAAATGGCTGCCATTGAAAATCAATTCTATTGTCATAGTGACTTGAAATCCAGAGTGAAACTGGCACTAGGCCAACGCTATGTCAAACAGGTAAAGCTAATGCATTTATTTTATTTTGGATTCAAACATACAAAACTGGGAGGCTGTTATCTTAAATAAAGATGATGAATCAGAAATCCATTGCCGTCCTTCTTAAGCATGCTTCAGTTTTCAGTATTCTTTCCTCTGTTGTTGATACATTTCCTCAACTATAATTACCACTCTTCACAGAAGGACTGGCTGCTAAGTGGTGCTAGGTTGGATTGAGGCTAGAGTGAGAGTCTTTATGCGAAAACTACTGTATTTTGCTGGATGTGGTCGTGTTGTGGACATTATTCTCAGATGTCAAGATGAGTTATCAGCTTCCAGCAATATATCAAAACGTGTTCACAAATAATAGTGACATATCCCTGGGATCCTCGTCAAATTTGCTACATATTGTTCCCGGTGCATTATGGTGGCCTAACAATCGCTCTAATTAGCTTCTTCAAATTGCCTCGTCTCAACTAATTAGCTGTTGTTCTGGTGCACAATGGCATTTGTGTAACCATCAAGGGGGATGCTGCAAACTGATGGTTGATGTTTATATATGGTGGGGTTAGATAAGATTGGGGAAAAGATCATATTGATTGAAATTGAAATAATTGAAAGAAACTGTCCCTGAAGCTGAATTGGTGAAAATCTTCCCCTATTGAGAAAAAATCTGTAATTTTTCATTAAAGACTCTCTGGAGCTGCAGATGCTCAGTCATTTGCGATGTGGGGAGAATTAATCCTCAAACAGATGTGAAAAGGAGGGCGATGCCTACCTCCGAACAGAAGCAGCACTCCGGTGAGTAGTAGCAGTAAGTATGCTCGTGCCAGAAGACTGATGAACCCCAGCATGCCTCCAACGAACAGCACAATAACACTCAGTGGCAGGAGGACAATGAATGTGCCCTGCATATCTGGATGGAAAGAGAAAACAGCCCTGAACGTGTCAGATAAAATAGTTAAAATCTCCCCTCATTCACACTGGTGTTTTCTACTGGGTCCCATCTTTGTCATGTTAATTGGACTCATTTGGAAGCAGTTATTTTCTAGGTGGGCACAGCGGATCCTCCCAGCCTCACCACTGGGGCATTCTTCTTGGAATTGAGTATTAGTCTACTTGTATACAAAAACCACTGAGCTCTTGAAAATCTTCGGTTTATTCTTTCTGAATATAAATCAGGAAGGCAAATTAGCATCTTTTCAAAGAGCTTCTAATGATGATTGGTCCCCATTGTGAAACACACAGGGAGTTTGTGCTGCCATGTATAAAGTACATCTCAAAATGTCAGAAAGCTCATACTCCACAAAACAGTGCTCATGTTTTTGCTTTAAAATTATGAAGGTTTTCTAAAGCATTCAATAGTGCAAACCGATAACCCAATATCAAGCATTGGGAAGTAGGTTAAATAAGATTGAGTTGAAATTAATTCCATTTCACCAGGGGAGGGTTTCTGAGGCCTTAGCTGACATTTGGACCTCATCGGAGAGTTCCATAGTCAATCCATTAAACATTACATTAAAGTGATCGACTGAAAGGGAATCACAAGGTTTCCAATGTAACCCATCGTTTTATGAAGCAGGGAAAGGAACACCAGGAAGTGTTTGGATCCACACTAGGCATTTATAACCTCAGCCATGGTTTTTCTGATTAATTTGATTAGTGTTTTATTTAAAAGAGAATACAAAACCTAAGCATATCATTTCTGAGTCCATTTTAACCCAATTGTTAATGAACACAGGTGCTTCCAATGGTTTGAAAAGGTAAAGCTTAGAGTACTGTAAAGTGTTGAGGCAAAATTCATAAATCCCCCCCCATAAAACAGACAAGGTAAAAAAAACAGCTTTTTGTCCGAACTTTAAAAAATAACAAGCCATGTCTCATGTCTTGTACTGCCAATGGTAAAATGAAACTGAAAGACGATTTTCGGCCATTTTTATTTGAATTTGCCATTTATCATATTACATGAGGTATTTGTCATACCTCTTGTAATGTTCGTTTAAAACCATAAATATCAAAGCTAATAACCTTTTTTAAGACCTATGCATTTTGTTTGAAATAAAAATCAAGCAATAGGTGCATCTCATCATTCCTACTTAATTAAAAATGGCTGGTGTGATTGTCACACCCACCATTGCTTACTGACTCCTAAGGTTAAAAAAATCCCACGATCCTCAATTAAAAAGATATTCAAGGGGTTAAAATAAATCCTGATGGAACCAAAAAGTTTAAGTGTTTGATGTGTTTAACAGTGTGCCACACACTCACAGCTCTTTAACAAATTCAGCTGCAAGTTGTGAACTGTTATAATGTTGGATTTAACTTGCGAAAGGAGGATCAATTAAGATAAGTCTTTCAACAGCCACCTTCCACACTCACTAGACAGTCTGCGGTTGAATAGGAGTACACTACAAATCACTTGTTCATTCTTTCTAATCCCTGTCATTCAAAGCCATAAAAATTCTTGAATGTCTTCCAAGCCAATCTTTTCATGTAAAAGATTGGTGACATAAAGGCTCTTGAGCAGCATTGTCTTGGTAATAACACTTACGTTGAGATTATTCATTCAAACAGCTGGAGGCCATGCACAGGTGACTGAGTTCATTTAGATGTGAATGCTCGGCTAATTAAAGCTGTAATTCCCTTTGATGAATTCCAGGAAATTCCCTTTTCCTATGTCATACAAGCTGAGAGGCTGACATTTACCATCTACGTGGGCCAAGTATGAAGGTGAGGAGCCAGTTTATATCTGTTACTCTTCGTCTCATATTGATTAGCTAAACTGGTTATGAATAGTTTGTTTCATATGGACTAATTGCTCTGCAAATCAACCATCTGCAGAATTTAGTCGAAATGCTTCTCTCTGTATTGACATGGGTTCAAAAAAAACAAATAACTTGAATAGAACATAAGTTGAGCTAGTTCTTGGAACGCCAGATCCAGATCTCAACAGGTATTTGGGGATTCTCAGATCTTTGTTTTCCTGGGTTACATGTGCTGTAGAGAAAACGCCCCTCTTTGAGTGAAACGCAGGCATTGAATATTAGTAAACTTGGCGGTTGTACACTTGGAAAAGTGTAATTTGTCTGATTTGTAAGAATTAACTTCACTTTTTAATAATGATAATGCCTTCAATTTATATCATGCTTTTCCAGACGCTTTAAAATTTTCTGAGCATTATTCATTCACTCCACATAGAACGTTGCTGCCACCAGTCACGCACATCCACACAGCGCAATGTGGGTGAAGTGGCTTGCCCAAGCCCACAAAGGCAGATAGGACCTAGCAGGGACCTTCGGGTTCTAGGAAGACCAACACCACCAGTACGCCACTTGCCTGCTCTAATAATCAGGTTGTGGCTCTAACATGTTTAAAGAGAGTCTGGTTTATTTTTCTTTGATAGTGGAGGACAGGATTAGATCTTGTCCTCCATTATTTATTTTTGGACTGTAAATGTCTTTCCCACTTTAGTGCAAGTCACTGATTATTGGTTTTTGCAAAAGTAAAGATGGATAGAGCTTGTGCATCTATTACTAAGATTAAAGATATAGGGAATGTTCCTGCAGATGGATTTTCTTTAATGGATTTCCTATGCTCCACTTAAGGCGTTAGTGCTGTTAGAGACAATAGCTGTTGGCTGAGAAAATATTAATTTTTGAGAACTTTAAAAAGATTTCTTTGAGGCTTTAAGATTATAATGGGAATAGAAGCTTAGTACCATAGTGGGGAAAAAAACTCTTAAGATTTGTAATTGTGAGTTTCTCTCTGGTCACTGCCGATTTTTGAATATGTTTTGTCCTAATATATATGAAATAAGGAGAAGGCAATCTGGTCGTAACATCCACATTAATGATCCCATTAACCCATATCCTTATGATCAGGTTCTGTCATTCTCCAATTTTTGGGCAGTCGTGGCCTAGTGAATAAGGTGATTGACTGGAAATCAAAAGGTCGATGGTTCAATCTCCAGCTACACAGGGAGTCGAAGATGGGATGAGTGTTGAAACTCTCTCCCACCTTTGATAACCATTACTGTGGTGGCCTTTGAGCAAGTCACCAGTTTCCCCATGCAGAGCACAACTTCCTCATGTGGGTCACTCCATACTTGGTCTTAATGCCACTTTCACTTCAATGTTTCTAGTCACCCTTTTGTACCGCAAGAATGTAATATATAAAAATAATCATCTATCAACCAAATTTCTGTCAGGACACTTAATGAATTTGAAAATATTTTTTAAACGAATATTAAGCATTAACTAAAAAGACAAATAAGCAAAGACCATCAAATAAACATTGGGATGAAAATTGTAGATTATTGTCAATTTAACAAAGAAACAAACAAGACTTTTGTAGACTCTCTGTTTCTTGAACACAAACAATGATAACCAAGTGTAACTCGAGGACATAATAGAAGGCAAGCCAGGTTTTTAGAAGAGCTTCACAATCAGGGCAGGGGCAAGACTATGGGCTGAGGGTTGTGACGATCTTGCCCTTTACACCAAAATGAATTATCACACTCTTCTAAAGATTAATTATAATAGCAGTAAGAATCAGACCCAGTGCACCTTTCATTTCACAAATCTCTGTGAACCTGTATTATATTGAAAAATTGGCCGATATACCACCTAGGCGATCCCTGAGATTCCAATATCTCTTCATTGGTATTGGCAAGAGAAAGTGTCAGTATCAAAAGCGATGCGCCAAAGGCTACTGAATAAAAAGGATCAATCCCCAATCAGAAATATTGATTTTAAATCTCTGTGTCTTTGTTGTACAATTGTCATTATATTGGGTGGTCAAAGAGGGGTCCCCTTCTGGGCAACATTGTGATGTTTCCCTCATTAATAATTTGCATTACAGTGATCATGTAAACAACATTTTTAGAAAAGCACTCACATGACATCACTACTCGTTGTCAAGGTAATGAATGAAAAAAATATATAATTTGTGTGTCACGAGCTTTACTCCAGGGGTCAAAAAACATGTCAAGCCAGGTCAATTCTTCTTAGGAATGTAGCTCTGGTCTGCCATATGAAATATCAGGGGTCATATGTTTAATATTTGAATATGTTTCAAAAAGAAAATAATTGGCATCAAGAACGGACAAGTTTTTGAACCCCATTCTCTAGAAGGGGTTAACTTACGATGGTCAGTGAATTTAAATAAGAGATCAAGAAATATGATACTTTGTTTAATTTTTTTTATGACAATATAGCTCCTTAGCAGCCAGCTTTGTAAATGATAAAAACACAGGGGTTGGTTTTTAACTTTTTAAAAATCAATTTATCTTTTGATGATGTATTATGCCAACAATCCCTGCATAGCGACCAGACTGTTTTCCATAGCAACCCATAGCATATCTCAATCTCAGCATTGGAAAATCATAGAGACATGGGGGTTTGTTTGTTTGTTGGTTTTACTCGTACAGTATTAACCTTAACATTAAAAGCAAGTTTTTACCAGGCAACATCAAAGTTTATGTGCATACTTCAGCCATCTAGTTTTTTATTGCTTTTGTAAAAGCCACACGGTTTCTCTGAAATGAACAAAAAGTGGTAGTTCCATAGGCATGGTGTTCGGCAAGTAGAAGCAATTTCTTTCACTATTTCCCACAGGATTATCTGTTGGCGCAACACTCTAGCAGATTCATAGTGGAAAGATTTATTGAACTTCCTTCAGGGGTGACTTCAGCTAAGCCTGGTGCGGCGGCTACTATCTAATCAAAGCAGCATGCTGGCAGACTTATTGAGTCCATTGTTCAAAGCAGAGCAGAAAGCAAACCCAATTTCAGCCAGTTTAAGACTCTTGGAGCTCAGATAATCTTAGGTTAACAAGCCTGTTACAGGCTTTAGAAGAAGATACGGAGCGTGTTAAAGTGTGGACAGAGGATGAGACTTGAACAGCCGTTCCGTGTAGATGACATTAATAGTTTGGGCATTACTGTTTTCTACAAGATGGCAAGCTTTGTTTCTCTAATCGTCATTTTCTGTGTTTCTGTCTCCCCAGCAGCTGTTTCACATTCATTGGTTTGATTAATGGTTATAACATTTTACCAGTGACAATAATTGTAATTCCGATGACTACTAGAATAATTTGGCTCTGAAAGTGGGCGATTGTGAGTGAGGTGCCGTATTAATCTTTAACTTTATAGCCAACAGCCATATTGTGATTTTAAAAAGGAGAAGGCAAAGCATTGGGAAGTATTTCTGCAAGTTCTATTGACGGGTAGACATGGAACATTAGGTAAGACACATGCCATCAATCACAGCTGTGAGTCTGGTACAGCTGTGTCTCTCTTTTGATTAAAGAGTGTTCTAGTAATAATGAGGCTAGATAATGTTAGTATGTAATAATGTTAGATCCGTGTTCTGCTTCTTACCATTGCCTTGGAATACATAGAGTTTCTACATTACACAATGAACACACTGTTGTTTATCACTTTTGAAATGTTATGATTTATTCCTTCGACTTGTACTGAAAACACTATGAATCATGACCAAATCTACTCCATTTGCAGGAATGCAGCAGCACATTTAAAGGGGGGTATTATATGTATTTCATATTTACCTACAGTTAGATTGTAATCGCTATATTTGTCATAAACAACCTCATAGAAATTTGACTTGGCATCTTGGCTGCTCGTAACGCCCTGATATTCACCTGTCTCTTTAAGAGCACCCTCCTTCTTTCCAACACGCCCCCTTCAGTGCGTCATACTTCATGCGCACTGCCACCATTTGTTTTCATTTTCTGAGTGCCGCTACATTTTCATAGTAAAAACATTAAAATTGTGTTTTTGCAAAATGGCAACAAAGGATATTGTACAAGCCTATGCACACGATCCTACGTCGGACCCAGAAAGTGAGTTTTCAGCAGAACTGGAGCAAGTACAGAGACTTTTTCAAGGCGTGTCTGCTTGGTAAATATCCTCTTGTAAATTTACACCATTTTGTGGCAGCATTTTACTAGGAAATTAAAAATATGCATCATAATGAAACTATGTTTTGCTATGAAATAATACACAAGCTTTTTAACCATTTTTGACGAAGTGTGTCATCCTTGGGAAGCGTAAAGAGAGGGCTCTCTCCTTGGCATTTAAACATACATCTCCTTGTAGAAGTCATTTTGTAATCCGGAGAACTATAGAGAACAGCACTCTGAACGAGGAGCTTCGTTCACACGTAGTGAGACCAGCTGTTGCTAACAGTAGCTCCCTCAGTCGTAGACGCGAGTCTTTGCCGGAGCTGGAGGGGGAGGAGCGGTGCAGCAGCAGATGGGGGACAGAGGCGGAGCTACGCTAAAGGGCCGGGGCTTCACAAAACAGAGCATTGTAGCACTCCATAATGTCTACCGCAGGAGATTCAAGATGTCTCAAATATGCATGAATGATTCAGTCACGATTCAGGTGTGTTTTTAATGAGGGGCTGACCTTATAACACAACATAAAGCTCAATAAAGTAGATTTTGCATAATAAGGAAACTGTCTGTAGACACTCAATATTATACCGCTCTCAATGAACAAACTGTTTTCCGCTACAGCTAAATCTCTTCACTTCTGTACTCAATTTTCCTTATTATTTCTGTGCTTACTTGAGATGTTTGTCCTTGTATTTTTTGGCTGTGACTCTTCCATTTCTAGCCAAATTCTCCAGACAGTAAGTGGGTATACTTGGAATCTGAGTCGAAGGCACTGCTGGACATCAATTTTGACAGATATTTAGCTTGAAATCAGCTTTCATCTGTTTCCTTGATCAACCACTGCATCTATGATCCTGATCGTTCCCTGTTTCTTTGTGTTTCTTCAAAAGAGCTTGAACAGAACATCTTGAAACCCTTTTTTGAAATCTTTCTCCAGGAGAGACCTTGTTGATATAGTATAACTACCTTGTATCACGTTGCTATGTTCACTCTTTCCATGACAAGAAACAATATTTATCAACCTCACTTTGGTAGTTTGACTGTTCCTCAACCTACTTTGAGCCCAATAGTAACTCTAATCACCACTTTTTTCAATCAAGATATACAGAAGAGCATCTCTGAAAGCTCAACACGTGAAATCTTGAGGCGGATGGGCTACAGCAGTAAAAGACCATGCCAGGGGCCAGTCTTACCAACTGAGGCTACAATTCAAACAGACTCACCAATGTGAGTGAATGTTGCCTGGTCTGATGAGTCTCGGATGTCTGTTGTGCCATGGTGGTAGGGTCAGAATTGGGCATCAACAACTTGAAAGCATGGCTCCATCCTGCCTTGTATCAATGGTTCAGGCGGGTTGTAATGGTCTGGGGGATATCTTGGCATACTTAGCCCCTTAGTACCAATTGAGCACTTGTCCTAGTCACAGCCTTCCTGAGTATTGTTGCTGGCCATGTCCATCCCTATATGTCCACAGTGTTCCCATCTTCTGATGGCTACTTCCAGAAGGAAAACACTCCAAAACTTGACCACACCAGCCACCACCATCATCCATGAAGAGCCAGTGGAGCTGGTCGAGTAGGTCAGATATCTGGGCACCAAGTTCTCTTCCAATATCGAGGACACTCAGAAGACCCCAGCAATGTCTCTCCCTCCTGAGGAAACTCAACTCCTTTGGAGTCAGTAAAGACGTTCTACTTCAGCTTTATTGACCCCATCATAACCTTCTAAACAACTTGCTGGTTCCACTCCCTCAGCTTCAATAACAGAAAAAGACTGCAAAACACTGTTCTAATATCAGTGATCATTTACTCCAGAAAGAGTAAAAACAGACAAAAATAGACTGTTTAGTTCAAATAGACTTATTTAAATAACTCTCCTTCAGAGTTGGTTTAACTCTATATAGAGTGGGACGAATTACACTCTGAGTAGAGTTAATTTAACTCTTAGGATTTTACTGTGTTCTCATGACCAACAGACACTGAACTTGGCAGTTGAGCGAGCCCTCACACGTCCTTCACTCAGCATTTTAGTGGCTTCCCTCTGGACGATGGCTCCTC